ACGACATGTCATCTTTTATGACATATATGCCTAGTTATTTTAAAATCCTTTGATGTATGACAAAGTTACAGTCTAGACACCAATGTGTGTACCTATAACCTCTATTTGTGATAAAGTGAACTTCAAAATGGAAGTGTGACCTTGACCTTTTAGGAAAGGACAAGATTCTTGGAAGCGACACATCGTCTTGATGTGGTAGAAGTTTATGCCAAGTTATTCTAAAATCCTTCAATGCAAGACAAATTCACAAATGTGTGAACCTATAAACTCTTATTTTGATAAAGTGAAACTTCAAAATGTAAGTAAGACCTTGACCTTTGAAGTAGGGATGTGATTCTTGCACACGACACATCGTCTTGATGTGGTACACATTTATGCCAAATTATGCTAAAATCCTTTGCTGCACAACAACGTTACTGCCTGGAAACGATTGTAAGTACCTATTAACTCTAATTGTGATAATGTGAAACTTCAAAATGTGTAACCTTGACCTTTGAGGTAGTGATGTGGTTCTTGAACGTGACACATCGTCTTGATGAAGTAGACATATATGCCAAGCTATTTTAAAATCCCTCAACGTATGACAAAGTTTCAGTTGGGACACGAATGAAGTGGGGACGCACAGACAGACAGACTGTCAGTGCGAGTTTAATATGCCGCCAATCGGGGGCATAAAAAATGAGCATAACTATTAATGATGAGTTGATTGCAGCAAAAGTCAGACTTAATCCGAGTTTAACAAGAACTGTCGGAGGACAGTAACGCTCGACTATTCGAAAATTTGTCACAATGGTGTTTCATTGAGTATAATAATGCTTACCTATATGAATACATAAAATTGTCCGAAAAGGTACAAACTCTTCAAGTTTCAATCCATTCCCTTCAGTAGTTATGGAGAGACAAGCTTACATGCAAAAACTTAACCAAGAATTCATGAGTCGAAAAAGGGGCATAATTATGCAAAAAAAGCAAATCAGAGTTATGGGACTTGTACCAATCATCTAAGATAATCACAGAGACCAAGTGTGTGAAGTTTCAATCCATTCCCTTCAGTAGTTATGGAGATACCAGCTTACATGCAAAAACTTAACCAAGAATTTCTAAGTCGAAAAAGGGGCATAATTATGTGAAAAAGCAAATCAGAGTTATGGGACTTGTGCCAATCATCTTAGATAATCACAGAGACCAAGTGTGTGAAGTTTCAATCCATTCCCTTCAGTAGTTATGGAGATACCAGCTTACATGCAAAAACTTAACCAAGAATTTCTAAGTCGAAAAAGGGGCATAATTATGTAAAAAAGCAAATCAGAGTTATGGGACTTGAGGCAATTATCTTAGATAATCACAGAGAACAAGTGTGTGAAGTTTCAATCCATTCCCTTCAGTAGTTATGGAGATACCAGCTTACACGCAAAAACTTAACCAAGAATTTCTAAGTCGAAAAAGGGGCATAATTATGTAAAAAAGCAAATCAGAGTTATGGGACTTGTGCCAATCATCTTAGATAATCACAGAGAACAAGTGTGTGAAGTTTCAATCCATTCCCTTCAGTAGTTATGGAGATAACAGCTTACATACAAAAACTTAACCAAGAATTTCTAAGTCGAAAAAGGGGCATAATTATGAAAAAAAGCAAATCAGAGTTATGGGACTTGTGCCAATCATCTTAGATAATCACAGAGAACAAGTGTGTGAAGTTTCAATCCATTCCCTTCAGTAGTTATGGAGATACCAGCTTACATACAAAAACTTAACCAAGAATTTCTAAGTCGAAAAAGGGGCATAATTATAAACAAGAGGGCCATGATGGCCCTGAGGTCGCTCACCTGTATATGGCCCCCCCCCACCCGGGCCAATTTTTACCCAAGGGCTTTATTTGTTTATTTAAACAGACTTAGTAGACACCCATAAGAAAATGTTTCATGCTAAACATCTAAGTTCTTGCTCATTGGGTTTTTAAAAGAAGATTTTTAAAGTTTTTACTATACACATATAGTTAAAAACAATGACACCCCTGGGGCAGGGCCAGTTTTGACCCCCGGGCCTTTATTTGAACAAACTTTGTAGATATTTACTTAAAGATGTTTCATGCTTTATTATTTAAACTCTAGCTATTTGGGTTTTTTCAAAGAAGATTTTTAAGTTTTTGCTATACACAGATAAGGAAAATCAATGACCCCCCCCCCCACCGGGGCGGGGCCAGTTTTGACCCCAGGGCTTTTATTTGAACATACTTGGTAGACACCCATTAGAACATCTTTCATGCTAAATATCTTAGCTCTAGCTTATTGAGTTCTTTAAAAGAAGATTTTTTAAGTTTTTACTACATGCATATAGGGATAATCATTGACCCCCTGGGGCTGGGCCAATTTTGACCCCAGGGCTTTTATTTGAACAAACTTGGTAGACACTCACTAGAAGATGTTTCATGCTAAATATCTTAGCTCTAGCTCTTTGGGTTCTTTAAAAGAAGATTTTTTAAGTTTTTACTATATGCATATAGGGAAAATCAATGACCCCCTGGGGCGGGGCCAATTTTGACCCCAGGGTTTTAATTTGAACAAACTTGGTAGACACTCACTAGAAGATGTTTCATGCTTAATATCTTACCTCTAGCTCTTTGGGTTCTTTAAAAGAAGATTTTTTAAGTTTTTACTATATGCATATAGGGAAAATCAATGACCCCCTGGGGCAGGGCCAATTTTGACCCCAGGGCTTTTATTTTGAACAAACTTGGTAGACATTCACTACAAGATGTTTCATGCTTAATATCTAAGCTCTAGCTCTTACGGTTCTTTAAAAGAAGATTTTTTAAGTTTTTACTATATGCATATAGGGAAAATCAATGACCCCCCGGGGCGGGGCCAATTTTCACCCCAGGGCTTTTATTTGAACAAACTTGGTAGACACTCACTAGAAGATGTTTCATGCAAATATCTTAGCTCTAGCTTTTACGGTTCTTTAAAAGAAGATTTTTTAAGTTTTTACTATATGCATATAGGGAAAATCAATGACCCCCTGGGGCGGGGCCAATTTTGACCCCAGGGCTTTTATTTGAACAAACTTGGTAGACACTCACTAGAAGATATTTCATGCCAAATATCTAAGCTCTAGCTCTTAGGGTTGTTTAAAAGAAGATATTTAAAGATTTTTCTTTCGGTTGCCATGGCAACCAGAGTTCTACATGGAATTAAATTCTTTGAACAATTTTTAAAGGTGACCACCAAAGGAACATTCCTGTGAAGTTTGGATGAAATTGGCTCAGTGGTTTATGAGGAGATGTCATTTAAAGCAAAAGTTTACGGACGGACGACGGACGACGGACGGACGACGGACGGACGGACGCCGGACGAAAAGCGATCACAAAAGCTCACCCTGTCACTTTGTGACAGGTGAGCTAAAAAAAGCAAATCAGAGTTATGGGACTTGTGCCAATCATCTTAGATAATCACAGAGAACAAGTGTGTGAAGTTTCAATCCATTCCCTTCAGTAGTTATGGAGATACCAGCTTACATACAAAAACTTAACCAAGAATTTCTAAGTCGGAAAAGGGGCATAATTATGAAAAAAAGCAAATCAGAGTTATGGGACTTGTGCCAATCATCTTAGATAATCACAGAGAACAAGTGTGTGAAGTTTCAATCCATTCCCTTCAGTAGTTATGGAGATACCAGCTTACATACAAAAACTTAACCACAGGGACGCCGACAAATGGGTGACTGCATTAGCTCGATTATTCTGCGAATAGTCGAGCTAAAAATCATAAACTTACATGCCAAATATAAACACAATGCATAGATCCCTGACCTGTCCAATTCTAATTATAAGATTAGTGGATACAATAAGAATTTCACCACAACATATTTGTTAACAATTGAGCATATGTCAATGTTTGTGGGTAATTTTATTGTTATTCAAATGAAAGGTCAGAGTAAGGATCTATCAATCACTGGAATTCTTCAAAAGTTATGCTGCGGAAACCAAATGTCTACAAACAGACGGATGAACAGACGGACATGTGATTGAAATGGGTTAAGGGGATATTTTTTGTTATTTTTTATTGTTTAACAGAAACCCATTGGCCCTTTATTCTATTGTCACAGAATGAACGCTTGTTTTTTTTTAGTTCTGTTTACAGTTAGATGGCCCCCTTACCCCATTTTGGTAGTGTGAACAGACAACTCCATACCATAATACATCTCCTAGGTCTTTGGGCATATAAAATTTCTGTAGTATGCTTTGCTAATAATAGATCTGACACACTATGCAATTCAATGAAACAGCTAAATGCTGAATTCAGATCTTCCAAAGTTTTACATGTAGATTGAGCATGACCAACCTTGATTGGCCTTCTGTCTATTTCTGATTTCAAAAGACTTATTTCAAGCCAAATAATCAAGTGGTACATTACAGAGAGGCAAATGACTAAAGACATTAAAGTGTATTCTTTTTAACTAATGTTCCACACACACACACACACACACACACACACACACACACACACACACAAATTTGAAAAAAAATTAAGGGAGATAATTATAAAACTGAACTTTACAGTTATGATTCTTGGTCACTGTAGAGACAGAAAATAATAATGTATGTTCTAGTTGCCATCTATCTATACTTAAAGTTTCCAGTCAATACCTTAGAAAGTTTTAAAGTTGGGAACAAAGATTTGGAATGGAAGTATATACAGATGGAGACTATAACCATATCACCCATGGCAGGGAAAATAGCTGTAATACTTTCTATTTTTTACTTACCACTGGGGTTAGCTTCATTCTACAAAAAAACCAAAAGAAAAACATATCAAAATCCTTCATATCTTTACTGAAACATATCATACAATCACCATACAAAAATTACATTCTCCATTATTTGTCTATACTTCTAATTGGATTTAGATAGTATAAAGTTAATGTGGTGATAATAAAGCCTTAACTTTACAGTAAATCACAAAAATATCCCTGCATGTATTATCCGACAAATAGAGCTCCTCTCTTAAACCAGCTACAATCTCTATAAATAACTCCAAAAAATATTCAAGGATACCAATGCTTAGCAGTGATCAATCTGCGTTCATGTTATCAACCCTATTCTGCTAAATTTCTTAACTAGACATGTCTACCTATCATTTTATTTTCAACTTTTTAGACATAAAGTATCATAATGATAATAATATGCCATCTGATCTGATAACACAGCTAATAAGCAATGTTTTATAATGAGACAAATCATTATGTACGACTGAGCCAACTTGACCCTATTTATCCTACATCCACACAATGGTATGTTCCAAGCAAATATTTAAAATATCTATAAATATATGAAGACAAAATGAGAAAATAGTTTAAATGAAGGACTGAAAGAAGCACGAATCAGACTATACACTATTTTTTTCTGGGAAGCATACAAAAATATAATTACTTTGTATCTTGTCTTTAAAGACATATTAGCTGTTCAAAAACATATAAATCTTGAAGGTTACAACCATACAAAATGTATCTAATGAACAAACTAGAAATGTGTCCATAGGACACGGGTGCCCCCACCGCGACACTGTTCTGTCAATCTTTTTACTAAGTCAAGGGAAATAACTCTACAAATACTGGATAAGTCCACAAGCCAAACCCCAGGTGCAAATCTAAAATATGCTGAGCAACCTGCCTATAAGGTTTATTGACTATGTCAAATCCTTTTTGAGAAACTTGCGACACAAGTTGAAAATTGCAAAAATTTTCTACGTGAAGGGCAATAACTCTAAAAATACTAAATAAATCCAGACGAAAATACCTGGTGCACAACTGCACATGCTGATCAATATTCCTGTAAAGTTACATGACTCTACGTCAAATACTTTTTGAGTTATGTGCGACACATGTTGAAAATTGCCAAATTTTACTAAGTCAAGGGCAATAACTCTGAAAATACTAAAAATATCCAGACGAAAATACCCAGGTGCACAACTACACATGCTGATCAACATTCCTGTAAAGTTTCATGACTCTAGGTCAAATACTTTTTGAGTTATGTGCGACACAAGTTGAAAATTGCAAAATTTTACTAAGTCAAGGGCAATAACTCTGAAAATACTAAAAATATCCAGACGAAAATACCCAGGTGCACAACTACACATGCTGATCAACATTCCTGTAAAGTTTCATGACTCTAGGTCAAATACTTTTTGAGTTACATGCGACACAAGTTGAAAATTGCCAAATTTTACTAAGTCAAGGGCAATAACTCTGAAAATACTAAAAATATCCAGACCAAAATACCCAGGTGCACAACTACACATGCTGATCAACATTCCTGTAAAGTTTCATGACTCTAGGTCAAATACTTTTTGAGTTACGTGCGACACAAAAGTGAACGGACGGACGGACGGAAGGACGGACGGAAGGACGGACGGACGGACAGACGGACGGACAAGGGTAAATCTAAATGCCCGCCACTAACGTGGGGGCACAAAAATTGCTACTAACATCTTGAGCATATTGTACAGCTAACTGGACTAGGTTCACAAACTCTTCTCCTTTCTTCTGTTTAACAAACACACAGTTCTTGTACCACCGAGCATGCTCTATCCAAGGGTCATCTTCTGCTGTCCAATGACGCAAGCCTACATAAAAACATGTATACAACTTGAATTATACAACCATTTCATGGAGTAAGGTCTTATACTACAGACCAGTAAATATTCTGACACATCTTTTTTTGTAAAACAAACTAATACAGTTATAGTCTTTGTAAGCAAAGCCTTCCCTCCAAAGCAATAGCAGACAATATGATGATTATCAAACCACTGGCATAGGCCCAATCCTGCTGGAAAAGTCAAATAGTAAATGTACATAAACATTCTTTGAGTTGACATATTTTTACCTATTTTGGTACCAAATTAGAACTATTTCATTGACTCAGGCAGACTGAAGGTACAACAAGACAGCAACCCTCGACTATTATTAGTTTTGTTTAATTTTGTTTGTGTTTTACGTCACACCGACACATTATAGGTCATATGGCGACGTTCCAGCTTTACTGCTGGAGGAAGACCTCAGGTGCTCTTCCGTACATTATTTCTGGCACGAGCGGGAACCCGAGTAGAACCACCGACGTTCCGTAAGCTAGCTGGATAGCTTCCTCACATGAAAGAATCCAAAGTCCCTGTCAGGATTTGAACCCACAGCGGTGAGGGGCAAGTGGTTTGAAGTCAACGACCTTAACCACTTGGCCACAGACGCCCCTCGTCTATTCTTAGTGCTTGATAGTAAAAGAGCCTTGATAATGTAAAATTTTTATATAATAACAAAGGGGCAAAATTTTACTTTAAATCCATGTTACAGTTATAGGCCTTGGAGAGAGTTCTATTATGCTCTCAAAGAAGAGTATAAAATTTCAACTTGTTTCAAAGCCAGATGTCAATAGAATATGAAAATATCTGAGGTGGTATGCAAACTTAAATGTAAATTCTAAGTTGAAAAAGGGGCATTATTCTGTCAAAATGCTTGATACAGTTACCTCCTCCTGTCTACAGTTTGGGGTCATGATGGTGAACAAGTGTGCAAAGTTTCAAAGCCATATGTCAATGGACTTTGACAATATTTGAGGTATTACAAAAACTTTAACATTAGTGGTTACGCCGACGCTCGGGTGACTACAATAGCTCTACTTATTCTTATCCAATAGTCCAGCTAAAAAAGTGACTGAGGCAACAGAGTGAGTATACTGTAATCCAGCAACTCAACTAGAAATGTGTCCATAGGACACGGGTGCCCCAACCACGCCACTGTTCTGTCAATCTTATGACTCTAGAGCAAATATTTTTTGAAAACTAAAAATCTTTTACTTATTAAAGGGCAAGAACTTTACAAATACTGAATAAATCCATGAGCAAACCCCAAGGTGCATAAGTACAACATTATGAAACGGTTTTTACTAAGTCAAGGCTAATAACTCTACAAATACTGGATAAATCCACAAGCAAAACCCCAGGTGCAAAACTAAATATGCTGAGCAACCTTCCCGTAAGGTTTAATGACTCTATGTCAAATCCTTTTTGAGTTACATGCGACACAAGTTGAAAATTGCAAAACTTTTCTAAGTCAAGGGCAATAACTCTAAAAATACTAAATAAATCCAGACAAAAATACCCAGGTGCACAACTACACATGCTGATCAACATTCCTGTAAAGTTTCATGACTCTATGTCAAATCCTTTTTGAGTAACATGTGACACAAGTTGAAAAATGCAAAATTTTACTAAGTCAAGGGCAATAACTCTAAAAACACTAAAAATATCCAGACGAAAATATCCAGGTGCACAACTACACATGCTGATCAACATTCCTGTAAAGTTTCATGACTCTAGGTCAAATACTTTTTGAGTTACATGCGACACAAGTTGAAAATTGCAAAATTTTACTAAGTCAAGGGCAATAACTCTAAATAACACTAAAAATATCCAGACGAAAATACCCAGGTGCACAACTACACATGCTGATCAACATTCCTGTAAAGTTTCATGACTCTAGGTCAAATACTTTTTGAGTTACATGCGACACAAAAGAAAATTGCAAAATTTTACTAAGTAAAGGGCAATAACTCTAAAAATACTAAAAATATACAGACGAAAATACCCAGGTGCACAACTACACATGCTGATCAACATTCCTGTAAAGTTTTATGATTCTAGGTCAAATACTTTTTGAGTTACATGCGACACAAAAGTGAACGGACGGAAGGACGGACAGACGGACGAACAAGGGTAAATCTTAATGCCCGCCACTAAATTGGGGGCACAAAAGTATATGTATACAACAAAATTGAAATACAAGCAGAGATAATGAACTAGTCATTTCTAATTGAAAGATTATCCTCATCTTGGACATGTTCCTGGCTTTCATTCATTGTGAAAGCCTGATAACTCTTTATGTTTTAGTCTCGGTGAATCTTGGCGGTGAGAAAAATACAAATTTGAAGAATATACACATGGGTTATACTTATCCCTCTTTCCAAATAAGGAAAAAAATTTGATTCTGTTACACACATTTCATAATTGATACGTAATTTATGTCAAGTTTAAAGGTCTAAATATATGTTACTAAAATAATTGTGCCTTACCAATGCCACAATAGAAACAACGGACACAATCTCCAAAACCTGAAATTAAAAAATGACAACTAACCTTTATTTCATATAATTATTCTAAGTAAATTTTCAAACATTTCATTCAATCACTACAAACCATTAACCTACAGAAACTTAAATGTTTAGCCTTGCCACCAGTACGGAACCAGGTCTGTCTGCATGTCTTTGCAGTCTGACAAGGGTCTATACTTTTGACAACTTACCAATACTCGTATTTTGAAATTCTCTAATCTTTAAATTGACAGTTAAAAATACAAATCAGCAGATGAAGAATGTAAACCATTCATATGAGAAATGCATAATTTGGAGGCACAAGTCAGTCTTTCCAAAAGACCGTCGGACCCGAGGCCCTGACCGGTAAAAAATCAGAAGGTCTGATAAAAATATATGTATTGACCATAAAAAATTAAGGTTTAATAAACATTTTGCAAAGGCCGATCATTCACGTACAGTCTAACTTGCCCATGCAACCACGTGTATTAAGCGACTTTTGTCTTAAACGACCACTTTAAATTCCCCCCGATCATTTTCTCTCTATATCTTTAATGTATTAAGCGACTTTTGCTCAACGCGACCAGCGACCGCTAATTAGTCACCTAATTGACATCAATCTTTTCATTAAACGACCACTTTTACCTGTCAAGTAATTGTGTTTATAGAGAACGTCACCTCGTTATGTCACAAGTGTCAACAATCAAACGTGTGAAAAAACTCTATTTCCCATACCGTTTTATAGTATGCAAATGAAGTTAAGTATACACGTGCCAGACTTTTGCTGAAATTTACCCTCTCATTTGGTAGTATATAGTCTGTATGGAATTAAAGTTTAAATTGCAAAATCCATTGAATACATGTATAACAATATTTATGTTTACATTTTGATTGTGGTGAAAAAAGATAGCTTCACATAGTTCTTCGTTGATAATATAATTTTCTTTATGTACACAAATTTTTTGACTGCTAATTAACACTTATCAAGTGACTCAAAATGATATACCAATCAGGTTTTTTTTTCCGGTCCAGTAAAATCATGTTTGGTCCAGTAAAAATTTTCAGTTTACAGGACCTAACTGTCCAGTAAACTCAGAAGTCTTTCGCATAGACTGACAAGTGTTCAGAATTTTCTCAGACAAAGAACTTACCAGCATAGAAGAAGCCTGCATCAGCAAGTACCTCTGGTGTATGACTGGATGTATCAGGCCAGGTACTGTAACTAGCTTCTCTAGCCGTCTTTGAAGCATACTGCGCGTGCTTAGGTATAGCTGTGTGTATACCTTTTAAAATATAACAAATGGATTCTTACATTAATATGTAATAAAATATGACATTCTTACAGCAGAACTTTATAAATATGAGATCCCTTTGAGGGTGAAAGAAACTAATGATACAATGATAACAAAAGATAAGTCATGTCTACGAAAAATTGGGCTTAGTTTAAGACATAAACTTTCATGAGGTTAACATTTTCACCTGAAAAGAACCTGATATTTTTTTCTTTTAATCTACCAAACATAATCTAGCAATAACAATAATAACTAAATAAAAATTATACATACTGTAGGAATAATGAGTTTTTTACCAAGTATATTTGTACCTGATGGTGGGGAGCAAGCACTGTCTTCTTGTGTTATGATGACATCATCTGATCTTTTGTTTTGTGAGCTCTGATTATTATTTGGTCCAGCATTTTCTGCATCTCTTAATTCAACTGTATCTTCAACATTATGTGTAGTTACATCATTGTGACAAACTCTCCTTGGATCTAACATAGCATCATCGGAAGGACTAGAGGCAATGTCAGCTTCAATTACTTGTTCATTGATTACCTGACTCTGAATTTTTATAGGGTCAGTTGAATTAAAAGATTTTGACTCGGCACCAGGTACAAAGCGTTCAGTTACTACCTTATTAGCTTTACTTTGTAGAATAAGACCTAGTCCATCAATATCATCTTTCATACTACTAACAAAACAACCTCTTTTCTTTTTCTTGCATTTTTGATATAAGACAGATATTGCCCTTATTAATTTTGGTTGGTTACAACCCATTGAATCATAATTCACAGCCTTATTATTCACAACCTGGTGGCCAACTTTCAATTTATTCACACTATTTGAACATTTTTTTGTTTCATTCTTCTTCTTTATTCTTCTCATCACATTTCTCTGCGACTGTTTCTTTGAATACTGTACATACATGTCTGGAAAAAAAAAGTCAATTGATGAAATTAAAAATTTCATAGGTGCAGCCTTTTTGTCATTCATGCCTAAGTTAATTTGTCATGGCTATATTCACAGAACTTTTATCCAATTCTTGATTTTGGTCTGTTTATTATTTGTTCATGTGATTTTGCACACTGTGTTTTTAAATTTAAAGCAATAAGCTTGTGCATTTCTTCTTTTTGTCAGCTAGGTGTAATCAGCCTACCGGCAAGGCTTCCATTATGTTTCAAAATTAAAAGTTGAAAGTCAGAGACCGCAAAATCTCTGACATTTTAAGTCACATTATATAGGTAAAGAAGGAAAAGTATTAGATTTCGGAAGGAAAAGAATTAGATTTTGCTTCATTATAACTAGGGCATATTTTCCTCTACTTCAAGTTCAATCTTTGCTTATTGTGAAGATTTAATTTCATATTTATCTGTTGTTTTTTTAATAACAGTAATTTATAAGACAGTTGACAAACTTCAAAAACGTTTTGAATAAGAAAGTTAATTTACAATTATACCTCAAAAATCTTTTTCTTTTGATCTCTTTAAATCATTTAACAGCTATTTAACTATTTAGATATGTTTTTTAAGGTGTAACAAATTAATTATTTATTGCTAGATAGTGGTTATTAAAATCAAAGAATTTTTTTTCACTTTTGATTTGTTATAATTTCTTAATAAAATTTTGAACTATTTTATTGTAATGTTCTGATTGGAAATTTGTCAATTTTATAGTAGAAAAATGTTATTTATAAAAAAGCTTACAATGTATTGTTTATTTTATTTCACGATAAAACAAGTATAATTTTTTAACTAATGTGTTGTTTTGTATTTTTGAAACTTGTCGCTTACTATTTAATTAATAGTTGTTGATAAAAAATGTTTGTTTCATGTATTGTTCAACATGCCCACTCAATTTCAAATGTAGGGGTGCATTTACCCCCTGTCATTGAAAATTGGGCGTACATTTTAAAATCTGGGGGTACACATAAGTTTAAACATGTTTTTATTTGTAAGAACATTTTAGTCAACATGATATTAATGAACAGCTGTTTCACTTAGTATTACTACCCAGTAACACAGACACAAACTCATCACTTAAGGTAGCTATATAACAGCCATTACAATCACTGGTATTTTGTTTAATCCATACGATTATTACCCATTACCAAAATTTTGTATATCCGAAATTATGTACATTTATTTCAAAATCTCAATTGTTTATATTATCATTTCATATGACATACGTAATGCTCACAATTGAAGGTAGTTGTTAAACAAGAGCTGTCACAGGAGACAGCGAAGCTCGACTAATAAAATACTGGACGCAGTAAGGAGGACAAAACTATGAAACAGAAAGAACTAGAACTATCGCTGAATGCGATTCATACCCCCACCAATGTCCTTGACAGAAGACAACTTGGAAAGGTGGTTAAGGGAATAACTTAAGTGACACAAATACATAAAAAGAAGTTATCTCTGGTGAAAAAAAGACTAATTGTACAGGTAATAGTAAAAATATCTATTATCAAATCATGTTCGAAACAGTTACAAATAACCTTTCATTTTCCCAATATACTAAACTTTTTATAAGTCAATTTTTGACCTTCAAGTGTGGCCTTGACCTTCAGCTGGCACAAGGGTAAGATGGGTTCTGCACATCGCCTAATTGGAGTGAAGATTTGAGTAAAGTTTGAAGAAAATCCTTCCATTAGTATAGAATTTATAGAGTTGACACAACATATTGTCTAGTATTGATTGTATGTAAATTTAAAGACTTAAAAAGGGGCATAACTTTGTCAAAATCCAATACAGAGTTATGAAACTTGACCTGCATATTGTAATTGTGACACCTCATATATCTTTTAAGTTTCAAGCAAATACCTATGCTAGTTTCCGAAATATTCAAGAACATGTTTTAATCTAAGAACATTTTCTAAGTCATTTTTTGACCTTCAAGTCTGACCTTGACCTTTAGTCTGCACAAAGGTGACATGGATTCTGCACATAACCTTGTTAAGGTGAACATTTGAGAAAAGTTTGGAGAAAATTCTTTCATTAGTATAGGATTTATAGAGCGGACACAACATATTGTCTAATATGTGATTGTATGTAAATTTGAAGATTAAAAAGGGGCATAACTTTGTTAAAATGCAATACAGTTATGAAACTTGACCAGCATATCTTAATTGTGACACTTCATTTATATTTTAAGTTTCAAGCAAATGCCTTTCCTAGAATCAGAAATATTCAGATATATGTTAAAATTAAAGAACATTTTCTAAGTCAATTTTTGACCTTCAAGTGTGACCTTGACCCTAAGCCGGCAAAAGAGTGACATGGGTTCTGCACATAACCTAGTTGAGGTGAACATTTGAGCCAAGTTTGAAGAAAATCTTTCCATAAGTGTAGGACTTACAGAGCGGACACGACATACTGTGTAATATTTGATTGTTTGATATTTGACCTTCAATTGTGACCTTGACCTTGAGCTGACACATGGGCAACATGGGTTCTGCACATCCCATTGTTGAAATGAACATTTGAGCCAAGTTTGAAGAAAATCTTTCAATTAGTGTAGGACTTACAGAGCGCAGTGTTCGCGTTTACTGAGTAAACATATCAATTTACTCGCTTAAATTGCCAGGGAGAAAAAAAAAAAGGGCTGTTGAGTCCCTGGGACGAAACACTTTTTCCCCGATAATTGGTCAATTCTCTCTTAAGTTTTTTTGCTCTGCTTGAAAATGATTTTCTATTCACTTTAAATAAATTGTATTATAAGAACTTGACTTTCACCTCATTTTCATTTGTTCCTTTCTCATTAGCAATGCAGATTTATATCCCAAACGTAGACTAGGAGCAAGTGCTCGGCCTCGTTTTGGGCCAACCTATCAATGGTATCCGCGAACATCAACAGTCACAAATTTGATTGTATTATGAAGTTATGCAAACATTGACATTTTTGTAATTGAGGACTCGTTCCATTTGAATTGGGACGTAACAGATCTATTAGCACTGAGTCCCAGGTACTCAGTAAAGTTAGGGAAAATCGCTAACACTGGAGCGGACACGACATATTGTGTAATATTTGATTGTTTGATATTTGACCTTCAATTGTGACCTTGACCTTAAAATGACACATGGGCAACATGAGTTCTGCACATCCCCTTGTTGAGGTGAACATTTTAGCCAAGTTTGAAGAAAATCTTTCAATTATTGTAGGACCTACAGAGCGGACACGACATACTGTCTAATATATGATTGTGTTTGATATTTGACCTTCAATTGTGACCTTGACCTTGAGCTGACACATGGGCAACATTGGCTCTGCACATCCCCTTGCTGAGGTGAACATTTGAGCCAAGTTTGAAGAAAATCCTTCAAGTGGTATAGGAGTTATAGAGCGGACACGAAAATGGAGACGGACGGACGGACCGACCGACCGACCGACTGACGCGACAAAGCGAATCCATTATAGCCCCCCCCACATTTTGTGGTGGGGGTATAACTAGAAATGTGTCCATAGGACACGGGTGCCCCCACCGCGCCACTGTTCTGTCAATCTTTTGACTCTAGGTCAAATATTTTTTGAAAACTAAAAATCTTTTACTAAGTAAAGGGCAAGAACTTTACAAATACTGAATAAATCCACAAGAAAACTCCAAGGTGCATAAGTACACATGCTGACCAACATTCTTGTAAACTTTCAGGCCTACAAGTGAAATACTTTTTGAGCTATGCATGAACAAGTTGAAAATTGCAAATTTATACTACTGTAAGTCAAGGGCAATAACTCTGAACAAAACTGAAAAAAATCCACATGCAAAGTCCCAGGTGCATAGTTTCACAGTGATGTGAATCATTATTCCTGTAATTTAGTGATGTTGATCATTATTCCTGTAAAGTTGGTTGATTCTAACTCAAGCACTCAAGGAACAAATAACAACATGATGAAACGGTTTTAACTTAGTCAAGGGAAATAACTACAAATACTGGATAAATCCACAAGCAAAACCCCAGATGCAAAACTAAATATGCTGAGCAACCTTCCCGTAAGGTTTAATGACACTATGTCAAATCCTTTTTGAGTTACATGCGACACAAGGGCAGTAACTCTAAAAATACTAAATAAATCTAGACGAAAATACCCAGGTGCACAACTACACATGCTGATCAATATTCCTGTAAAGTTTCATGACTCTATGTCAAATCCTTTTTGAGTTACATGCGACACAAGTTGAAAATTGCAAAATTTTACTAAGTAAAGGGCAATAACTCTAAAAATACTAAAAATATCCAGACGAAAATACCCAGGTGCACAAATACACATGCTGATCAACATTCATGTAAAGTTTTAGGACTCTAGGTCAAATACTTTTTGAGTTACATGCGACACAAGTTGAAAATTGCAAAATTTTTTAAGTCAAGGACAATCACTCTAAAAATACTAAAAATATCCAGACGAAAAATACCCAGGTGCACAACTACACATGCTGATCAACATTCCTGTAAAGTTTCATGACTCTAGGTCAAATACTTTTTGAGTTACATGCGACACAAGTTGAAAATTGCAAAATTTTACTAAGTCAAGGGCAATAACTCTAAAAATACTAAAAATATCCAGACGAAAATACCAAGGTGCACAAGTAAACATGCTGATCAACATTCCTGTAAAGTTTCATGACTCTAGGTCAAATACTTTTTGAGTTACGTGCGACACAAAAGAGAACGGACGGAAGGACAGACGGACGGACAAGGGTAAATCTAAATGCCCGCCACTAAAGAGGGGGCACAAAAATCAATTATGTATAATTATGTATTAAGTTATAGTAAAAAATAACATTTGTTAACATAAATTCCAAGATCAAGGGGAAAAATTCTAGAAATAGTCACGCTAGAGTTATGAACCTTGTCACACAACATGTGTGTAATGATAAGAAATATACATTTGAAGTTTGAAGTAGATACCTTAAAAAGTAAAGAAGTTATAATATTTCTTAAAGAAAATCCTAAGTTCAAAGAGAGATAAATCTGTAAATATTGCTTCAAGAGTTATGAACATTGTCACATAAAATGTTATTGATGATAAGGAATAAGTATTTGAAGTTTGAGGTACATTGTAGATACCTTTAAAACTAAAATTGTTATAGTAAAAAATAACATTTTTCTAGTAAAAAAAATCTAAGTTCAAGGGGAGATAAATCTGAAAATATTGGTGCTAGAGTTATGAACCTTGTCATATATGATGGGGATGATGATAAGGTACATATATTTGAAGTATGAGGTTGATCCCTTAAGAAATAAAGAAGTAACAGTAAAAAATAGTATTTTTTGACGAAAATTCTAAGTTCAAGGGGAGATAAATCTGAAAATATTGGTGCTAGAGTTATGAACCTTGTCAAATAAGATGGGGATGATGATAACGTACTATATTTGAAGTATGAGGTTGATCCCTTAGGAAATAAAGAAGTAACAGTAAAAAAATAGTATTTTTTGAGGGAAATTCTAAGTTCAAGGGGAGATAAATCTGGAAATATTGGTGCTAGAGTTATGAACCTTGTAACATAAGATGTGGTTAATGATAAGGAACATATATTTGAAGTTTGAAGTTGATACCTTAAGAAATGACAAAGTTATAGTGAAAAATATTTTACTGCACAAAAACTTTAATCTGAAATCTGGACGCAGACGCAGGGGCGAGTAGGACAGCTTGTATAGTCCAGCTAAAAATCAAGTGACTAACTTTTAGCTGATCATTGGAGAACTCAAAATACTTTTTGACAGTTGTAAATATCCATAAAACAGAACATGACTTGGGTAGCACTCCACACTAAATTTCAAGTTTCTGCCGTCAATGTCCTACGAGCAAAATATGTCTGATAAATCTGATCCCAAACTACACAACCTGGAAAAAGAAAACACATTTTGTTAAGAACATATATGTCATAACATTGCAAATCTATAATGAAATCATCCCATGTGCAAACAGTCAGCCAGTTAAAAAATTCCAATTCATTCCGTAAAAGCCAAAAAATCTATAGTGGTCCGAGACCAAAAACCAAATTTTGTCCCCCGGCCAAAAAAACTGCCAAAAAATAGGGCCCACAGAAAATCTGACACTTCTCTGCAACTCCCAAAATGCAAATATAAAAAAATAGGGCTTGCCTTTTATTTTTTTCTTTTTTGAAATTTGAACCCCCCCGTTTAAAAATTCTTGCTTTCCCCAAGGGATTTCAAGTTTTCAAACAATGGCAGCCTTGAAACTATAATTAACAGCTGTTTATTTCTAAAACCCTGTTTTTTGGGAAAAAGCCCCAAAGATATATTAATGTACAAAAAAAAATTTTATGCCCGAAAAAGCACTTTAAAAAACAAAAACCGTCATTTAAAACCCCAATAGCAATATATCCATGAAACCTCAATTTTGGTTTTTGTGCCTTCCCTTTAAAGGGGACCTTGAATTGATTTTTAAACTTAATACAGAACTTTTTCTGCAAAAATTTATGCATATTTCAATAAATAAAATGATTTTATTTTGCTAGGAATTGTTTGGTTTTCTTCATATGTGCCTTTAATGAACTATACCGTTTGCCCCATTTTCAGCCCTCGGCACGCTGTTTTTAGTACATGTAGAAAAAGAAAGAATTCCCAATGTAAGGTAAGAATTCCCAATGTAAGGTGTACACAAACTGGGTTTTATACTATCCATACAACTTTTACTAATTTGCACAAATATATCCTTATGCCATATGATATGGAAGAAATATTTAACAAATTGCCATACAGTTTAAGAATAAACTGGCTTCATGTGACACTATGGGGCACAGAATACATCAGATATGTTCCTGCCAGACACTAATATATGCTATGTTTTTTTCAGTCCTACATAGTAGAAAATCTATTTGGCATGCACAATGTTCATATAGGTTTATGTGTAAAGTCAAAATCAAACAGACAAAGCATTTGTCAGGGGCTTCTCAGCATTGTAGACATCACAATGTGGGTCTCCTAGGGAAACGAAAAAAAACACAAAGTGACAGTGCAAAAACCAAATTTTCCGACTACTCGATCTTGCTCGCTCACCTTTAAAATGGTCAGAAAAAGATTTTACATCCCCTTGCCCCTAAAAAATGATTTCCAGCAAAAATTTACCTCCAAGCAATGATTTTGCATCACTCGAAACACTTCGGATGGCCATATTTCACACATACAGATGAAATTCATTAAATGCATGCCTTTTTCCTAAATAAAAAGTCATAAAAAGGCAGGAAAACATCAACTAATTTAACCTTCAATAGCTCTATATGTGAAAATTAGCATTCTTCTATAGCTGTATCTCCTAAATAAGTAAGCATTATCACTTGAAGCACACAGCAGACAAAGCGCCTTTAATACATTTCACAAAGAATTTCTGGTATTTGAGTTACCTCCCCTCTTTAAAAGCTGACTTTCTGGCACTGTGTTTAATATAATTTTGAAATTTCATCATCATTGTAGTCAGTGTAATATAGAGCATTTTACACAAAGTTTAATGACAAAAAACAAGCATTGAACAAATTTCATTTTACCTTTAAGGTAGCACTCCACACTAAATTTCAAGTTTCTGCCGTCAATGTCCTACAAGCAATATGTCTGATAAATCTGATCCCAAACTACACAACCTGGAAAAAGAAAACACATTTTGTTAAGAACATATATGTCATAACATTGCAAATCTATAATGAAATCATCCCATGTGCAACAGTCAGGCAGTTAAAAAATTCTAATTCATTCCGTAAAAGCCAAAAAATGTATAGTAGTCCGGGACCCAAAACAACATATTTTGTCCCTCCGGAAAAAATACCTGCCAATATTCGGGCTACAGAAACTCTGTCACTGCTCTAGCAACTCCCTATAAATATACTAAACTTTTTTGACCTTCAAGTGTGGCCTTGACCTTCAGCTGGCACAAGGGTAAGATGGGTTCTGCACATCGCCCAATTGGAGTGAAGATTTGAGTAAAGTTTGAAGAAAATCCTTCCATTAGTATAGAATTTATAGAGTTGACACAACATATTGTCTAGTATTGATTGTATGTAAATTTAAAGACTTAAAAAGGGGCATAACTTTGTCAAAATCCAATACAGAGTTATGAAACTTGACCTGCATATTGTAATTGTGACACCTCATATATCTTTTAAGTTTCAAGCAAATACCTATGCTAGTTTCCGAAATATTCAAGAACATGTTTTAATCTAAGAACATTTTCTAAGTCATTTTTTGACCTTCAAGTCTGACCTTGACCTTTAGTCTGCACAAAGGTGACATGGATTCTGCACATAACCTTGTTAAGGTGAACATTTGAGAAAAGTTTGAAGAAAATTCTTTCATTAGTATAGGATTTATAGAGCGGACACAACATATTGTCTAATATGTGATTGTATGTAAATTTGAAGATTAAAAAGGGGCATAACTTTGTTAAAATGCAATACAGTTATGAAACTTGACCAGCATATCTTAATTGTGACACTTCATTTATATTTTAAGTTTCAAGCAAATGCCTTTCCTAGAATCAGAAATATTCAGATATATGTTAAAATTAAAGAACATTTTCTAAGTCAATTTTTGACCTTCAAGTGTGACCTTGACCCTAAGCCGGCAAAAGAGTGACATGGGTTCTGCACATAACCTAGTTGAGGTGAACATTTGAGCCAAGTTTGAAGAAAATCTTTCCATAAGTGTAGGACTTACAGAGCGGACACGACATACTGTGTAATATTTGATTGTTTGATATTTGACCTTCAATTGTGACCTTGACCTTGAGCTGACACATGGGCAACATGGGTTCTGCACAATCCCATTGTTGAAATGAACATTTGAGCCAAGTTTGAAGAAAATCTTTCAATTAGTGTAGGACTTACAGAGCGGACACGACATATTGTGTAATATTTGATTGTTTGATATTTGACCTTCAATTGTGACCTTGACCTTAAAATGACACATGGGCAACATGAGTTCTGCACATCCCCTTGTTGAGGTGAACATTTTAGCCAAGTTTGAAGAAAATCTTTTCAATTATTGTAGGACCTACAGAGCGGACACGACATACTGTCTAATATATGATTGTGTTTGATATTTGACCTTCAATTGTGACCTTGACCTTGAGCTGACACATGGGCAACATTGGCTCTGCACATCCCCTTGCTGAGGTGAACATTTGAGCCAAGTTTGAAGAAAATCCTTCAAGTGGTATAGGAGTTATAGAGCGGACACGAAAATGGAGACGGACGGACGGACCGACCGACCCGACCGACTGACGCGACAAAGCGAATCCATTATAGCCCCCCCCACATTTTGTGGTGGGGTATAACTAGAAATGTGTCCATAGGACACGGGTGCCCCCACCGCGCCACTGTTCTGTCAATCTTTTGACTCTAGGTCAAATATTTTTTTGAAAACTAAAAATCTTTTACTAAGTAAAGGGCAAGAACTTTACAAATACTGAATAAATCCACAAGAAAACTCCAAGGTGCATAAGTACACATGCTGACCAACATTCTTGTAAACTTTCAGGCCTACAAGTGAAATACTTTTTGAGCTATGCATGAACAAGTTGAAAATTGCAAATTTATACTACTGTAAGTCAAGGGCAATAACTCTGAACAAAACTGAAAAAAATCCACATGCAAAGTCCCAGGTGCATAGCTTCACAGTGATGTGAATCATTATTCCTGTAATTTAGTGATGTTGATCATTATTCCTGTAAAGTTGGTTGATTCTAACTCAAGCACTCAAGGAACAAATAACAACATGATGAAACGGTTTTAACTTAGTCAAGGGAAATAACTACAAATACTGGATAAATCCACAAGCAAAACCCCAGATGCAAAACTAAATATGCTGAGCAACCTTCCCGTAAGGTTTAATGACACTATGTCAAATCCTTTTTGAGTTACATGCGACACAAGGGCAGTAACTCTAAAAATACTAAATAAATCTAGACGAAAATACCCAGGTGCACAACTACACATGCTGATCAATATTCCTGTAAAGTTTCATGACTCTATGTCAAATCCTTTTTTGAGTTACATGCGACACAAGTTGAAAATTGCAAAATTTTACTAAGTAAAGGGCAATAACTCTAAAAATACTAAAAATATCCAGACGAAAATACCCAGGTGCACAACTACACATGCTGATCAACATTCTGTAAAGTTTCAGGACTCTAGGTCAAATACTTTTTGAGTTACATGCGACACAAGTTGAAAATTGCAAAATTTTTAAGTCAAGGACAATAACTCTAAAAATACTAAAAATATCCAGACGAAAAATACCCAGGTGCACAACTACACATGCTGATCAACATTCCTGTAAAGTTTCATGACTCTAGGTCAAATACTTTTTGAGTTACATGCGACACAAGTTGAAAATTGCAAAATTTTACTAAGTCAAGGGCAATAACTCTAAAAATACTAAAAATATCCAGACGAAAATACCAAGGTGCACAAGTAAACATGCTGATCAACATTCCTGTAAAGTTTCATGACTCTAGGTCAAATACTTTTTGAGTTACGTGCGACACAAAAGAGAACGGACGGAAGGACAGACGGACGGACAAGGGTAAATCTAAATGCCCGCCACTAAAGAGGGGGCACAAAAATCAATTATGTATAATTATGTATTAAGTTATAGTAAAAAATAACATTTGTTAACATAAATTCCAAGATCAAGGGGAAAATTCTAGAAATAGTCACGCTAGAGTTATGAACCTTGTCACACAACATGTGTGTAATGATAAGAAATATATATTTGAAGTTTGAAGTAGATACCTTAAAAAGTAAAGAAGTTATAATATTTCTTAAAGAAAATCCTAAGTTCAAAGAGAGATAAATCTGTAAATATTGCTTCAAGAGTTATGAACA